GCGTAATACCTCGCACAAGAACAAGAAAAACAACCCAAGGCACACGAGGCAAGAGAAAAAATAACAAAAAGCAAAACTAAAAACACATAATATTTACACGGGCACGAAAGGCAAAACAAGAGAAATGGAAAATAAGCAAATAATCAAAAGAAACACGCAAAAACGAGCAAAATCCACAAAAAGAAAGAGAAACACGGAAACAAACGACAACTAGATAGCAAACTTGGCGTCCTACTCACCTTCCCCGGCAACGGCACCATTTTGTTTGTAGTATTTTTGGGCATGTGGTAACCGAGCTACCCGACTCGGGTCGTTCTCAAAGGAAGGCTCTTCGGAGCTTCGTTCACTACCTAGTCGTCTAAGTCACACAACCGAAAAGGTCCTAAACATTCTACTCGCAATTTGAGGGTTTGAATTTAACTAGATTAATCTACGAAATGAGAGAAATTGAAAGCAATTAACTAAGCACGCAACAAGATGAGAGAAATCAAGGGGGAAAGAGAGATTTTGGTTTGCCGGAGTCATCATGATCAAAAGCACGCAAAGATCCAACCATTGCCATGTTCGCTAAAAACCCTAGGAAGTCAAATCAAACTCTAGCATGAATCGAGCAAGAATTCAACTCCTATCACACTTAGTCAAACATTCATGATCCAAAGCAACAATCTTTTCTTCCAAAATCACAAGCACAATATCAATTTACCAAAGCAAGAAAGATATACGAGGTAATGGGGCTTAAGACTAAGTTACCCACTCCAACATGCACTCGGGAGAAGAAACGGAATCAAAAGCTTGAAACTTTGCTCAAAACAATGTCGCCAGAAGTTCGCCGGAAAACTTGATTCATAAAGCTCCAAACCAAAATAAAAAATAAAAAAAAAAAGAAATAGAGAGGATTTTCCCAACTTGTAAGTTGGGAAATGAGAGTTGTTCTCAAAATACAAAGCAAAATGTCTTTAAATAGCTACACCACAAACACACACTAAAAACACGCACATTTAATAGGACACTCCCGAGCTCGCGGGAGGATTCGCAGGCGCTCGGGCACAGGTGCATGGGCGCGGGGGCACTCTCGAGGTCGCCGGGGACTTCGCGGGCGCACGGGCACAGCAGGACACACTCCCGAGCTCGCGAAGCAGGTCGCTGGCGCGCGGGCGCGCTGGGGTGAGGGCTTGGAGCACTCCCGAGCTCGCGGGGCTCTCCGCGGGCACGCGGGCGTGAGGGCTGGACACTCCCGAGCTCGCGGACGGTTCCGCGGGCACGCGGGCGTGCATTGGCTTGGTCCCGGTGACCCCTTGAAGTTCGGTTCGCTCTAATTTCTCGCACACAACTCCGATTCGCACGAAACTTGGACCAAAATTCTCCTCATTGAATTCTCTTCGTCCCGGTATGGCTTGGTCAGATTTTTCGGGTTGGATGGCTCGGATGGCCCGTCTCCTCTTCTCGACAAGTTGGACCTAAACAACACCAAAATAAAAGAGAAAACGCGCAAAAATACGAAAGCACTATACAATAACAAAAATACACAAAACACGATAAAATGGACCGGTCGACACTAAAACAAACCTAAAAAGACTCTACTAAGGCATATAAAACACATGAAAATAAGCACAAAAACACAATAAACACAATCTCTCATGTACAAATGTAGGGTTTCTTGGTTCTAAGTATTACTATATGATGTTGCGCATTATTTACTTTTTTTGATGAATTAAGATAGTCATGTAAAGCTGTGATTCTTTTTAAATTGTACAACACCAAAGTTAGAGTTTTCTATCCTAAATTTCAAATTTCATGAGTCAATAGTCTGTTTGTTGGTACATTAAGATTTTTTAAGTTGTAAAACATTTAAGTTACAATATATATAAAATAACTTTTGAAATATTTACTCAGAACAAATTTATTAATTATTATACAACTTAATTAAGTTGTTATAATTCATGGCAAATTTATTGACGTATCTAACATAAAGATTATCATAAATATTTGCCAAAAAATGCACAACCTATATTATAAAATATGAACCGTGTTTCAAAAGTGGATTTAGTTGATGGAAATATTTACCACCAATATGAAACATTTTATATATATCAAAATAATAGGTGAAAGCATATGTATATATGCACATACTGTGAGCTACTCAAATATATGATGTACTAAATTTAATATATGATTCAAAATTAGGACTTATGAAATGAAAATTAATTAATATTACTTTATTATAAAATAATATACAATTTTCAAATTTAAAATTATATAAACTAGATTAACATAACGAAATATTATAATTGTAACGGGCTATTTTGGTGCTTTAACATATTAGTGTGTACCTCGTGCGATGCACGGAAACAATATTAATTAACAATATTATAAATAGACCTCGAGTTTGAGTCACTCAATGGCGGGAGTGGAAACTACTATCGATCCTATCTAAAAAGAGGAAGAAAAAAAATAATTATAAATTAAAGAGGATGATAAACAATACTTAATAATTATAAATTAAAAATTCAGGGTCAAACAATGTAAAAGTATTTTGTATAAGAGAATATAAATTTTACATTATTTTGTATAAGAGAATATAAAATTTGTATGTTCAATATTAAAAATACATAAAATATTATATTAGTATATGTAAAAGTATTCAAAAATTTCTATATTATTTTTGAAAGATATGAAGTCACCTACAACTTTTCTAAACAATTTTAGAAGGAAAACATATTTAAAAACATTTGAATTTAACATTGTGTAAAAAAAAATTTTAGACTATTTTGCAAAGAAAACATGTCTACAAATATTTAAATTTAACATCAATTATGTATTTGTGTATATGTATATATATATATATATATGTATGTATATATAGACGAATATGTTAAAAAAAATATCTAAACAATTTGTTTAAAGTACCTAAAATATGATAAGCCTAATTTAATAAACACATCATGGCAGATGATACTGAATTTATGGTGTTATCTCCATCTAAAAAAATTGATTACACACAATTTAAAAATTATTATTATACTTTTTACGTTGTTATATTGTTAGATTATAATATTTGTAAAAATATTAGTAATTAGACCAATGAAAATTAGCCTTTTAAAGTAGATAATGTATTTCTAGTAGTAATTATGAATTTGTTTTTATTTTATTTTATTTATTAAAATCTGTATAGATAAGGATGAGATGTTTTAAAATTGTGAGAATATAAAATTTGTATGTTTAATATTGAAAACACCTAAAATATTATATTAGTAATGTAAAAGTATTCAAAATTTCTATATTATTTTTGAAAGATATGAAGTCACGTACAACTTTTCTAAACAATTTTAGAAGGAAAACATATCTAAAAACATTTGAATTTAACATTGTGTAAAAAAAAAGTTCTAGACTATTTTGTACAGAAAACAAGTCTACAAATATTTAAATTTAACATCAATTATGTATATGTATATGTATATATATATATATATATATAGATGAATATGTAAAAAAAATATCTAAACAATTTGTTTAAAGTATCTAAA